AAAAGTAAAGTTGACATAAAAGTCTGATAAAATTGCTGAGGACTTGAGGACTCGTTGAACTCGTCTTGGAGCTCCTTAAACTGCGTACTGTGCCTTGTACTGTTGCGCATCTCTTCTGCTCGTAGTATTGTCGGCTTCAAAATTGCGTTGTACAAATTTTAATGCTAACAAAATTGCAATTAAATTTAATTTTATTTCATTGATAATTGAGTAGACAATTTTCCAGCAGCAAAAAAAGAAAATAAAAAAAAATAGCATTCGCAATGAATATACAATTTTTGTATAGAATATCAAAATATCAGAATATCTACAATACGTGCAGAGAAGGAGGAAGGCAGAAGGAGACGCGTACATTGACAGCAGGTATGAAAAACGTAGAAAATTTGTTTGACGTGCCTTAAAGTATGCTATGTTAATAAACGTATAATGATTATGTGAATACTTATGAGGGTATAGCAGGATACTCGTCTCGTATAAGTAGGATAAGTAAGGAACGCGCATTACTTCAATATGGCGTGTACGTTCCAACGAGAAAATATCAAATTGTACGCTGCTTTGCCGTTTGAATCAATCTGTTTGCTTGTATAAGAAACTGTGATTTGCTTTGGCTTTATTCGATTTATTTTTATTTTATTTTATTTCATTTTATTTTATTTTTTTTTTTTTATTTGAACAGTTTTTCGATTTCATATGAATTTTAATTTACAATTTTAAAGATTATTTATTTCTTTCTTCTGCTACTACTTTCAGGAAGTATTTTCTTTTCTTCTCTTAAACGCTTATTTGATAAATGTATATTTATATAATGTAAATAAAACAATTTTTTTTCTAGTGTTACTAATATGTATACATGATTGTTTATGATAGAAAACAATAAATAATAAAGAAACTTACTAAATAAAAATTATGGGTTCGTATAGTCCTCTGTGCATTGGTAAAAAATTAAATAAATACTCCTTCTTCATCCATATCAAACACTATAGCATTAAAACTTTATGAATTCGTTCCAATATAAACACAGCAAATGAATTTAATAAGAAAAAAAAATTTTCAAAGCAAAGTAACAAAACTCCAGAAAAATGTGCGAACATAAAAGTCAAGTATGACTTTGGGTCTGTTCGTTAAGGAGCTCTGGCTCTGAGCTTCAGATTTGGCTGGGCACGAGTTCGATTCCTGGTATTTGCAACCCCAAAAAATAATTTACATATAATTAAATACAAGTATTATTTACAAGACTACTGATGATGGGTATTTGGCAATACTCGAAACCGCTGCATAGTCAGCCGAATATTCAATTAATTAAAATAAGATAAAAATGAATTTTTGTTGTTGTAGTTCACTAATTATCGAAAAACCTCTTTATTAAAACTCTATAAAATTTATAAAAATATTTGGATAAAATTATCCAATTCATAGTTGGATTCCGAAACAAATTTTAATGTATCGAAGAAGGATTTCCATATATGCTTGCAATAGTAAGTAAGGATCTTTTGATGTATGCTTAGCATAGTTACTGTCAACAATTCAGAGTCATTGAGTATGGCAAACATATTCAGTTAATTTGCTTATTTATTATCTGTAGTCCCTATACAGTCATAGATTTCTATTTGTTCGTATATTTGGTTTATATAAACATATTAGTTTCTATAACTATGAACTACATATGTACATATGTTTGCAAATAAATAATACGTAATGTGTCATTTCAATAATTGTTAATGAATTTGCAAAATTTATATCCGACAAATATTTGTGCATACATACATATACACATACAGAAAATTATATAAAAAATAAGAAAATATTATCGTAGTATGGAAATGTTTAAATTACCAGAAAAAAATATATCACAAATTTCCTGTGAACGAGATTTTTATTTCATTTCACAAATACAGCTAATTTCTTAATGTATGCAAGTGGAATATCTACAAATTTACTCACAAATTGATTAAAAGGCAAATATCTGCATAAGTTAAGTACCGCCAAAAAGAAAAATGAAGTATCGATATCAATTCAATCGCTGTGTACTAAATTAATTTGCTACACGAGCGATCAATATCAGCAGAATTGATATATAGGATGTAACACAGACACACATAAGTACTCGCATAGAAATTAATATCCATATATACAACATTAGTATGACATTTTGGCGTACTTACTCCCATACCCGTATGTGCATATGCAGACAGAGTTGGATACGTAATGAATTCGTTCGCTTTAATATTGTATTGTCGTATCTATATTTCATAGTGCACAAGTATAAAAAGCACATTTGACACTTTTCAAGCAACAACAGACGCCGAGAGCACTTATATGCTCCAATTTTATGTAGATACTCCATGTTTTATTCTAATGCCTTCCTTTCGACATAATCAATAAATATGGGGAAAGACAACGTAAGCGGAAATTTCAAAGCATACTTTCAGGCATATAATGAGCACAGCAGAATATATATAAAAATCATAGTTAAGTAAAGGGCGTCAAATTTAGCATTGTAACTTGTATGAAAAATGCGATAAAAGAAAAAAATATATACAAAAATATATACTATAAGTATATTTGAGGGCGACATATACAATATACAATATTCAATAGCGAAAATAAAAGAAAATTCTATGAATGAATATGTGCCATGGCACAAAAATAAACGACAGGTAAGCATATCTTTTCGTTAAAGTTATAGGTAGCGCCACATTAGAACAGTTACTCCCATGCAATATTGAAATATGTACTCACCGCATACAATCCTAAAAATAAAATTAAGCAAAAATATGAAAACTCCTCTTAGCGGAAAATGGAAACAAAAATCTGTAGTCTGTCAGTTACAAATAAAAGTAATTTCATATATCAATAAAGTATGTACTTAAGAGACGTCAAGTACACTTTGAAGAGTACAAAACAAAAACAAAAAAAAAACAACTAATTGCCGTAAGTCGGCATTTTTTACTGAGTGTATCACATACTCCTACTACCTCAACTGTTATCATCGAATAGCAGTGACTGGTATCGATGACTGCTCCGCCAAAACAGAGTGTGTATGGCAAAACGGGAAAGTTTTCATATAAATTTCAAGATAAATTATAACATAAATAATTGTTGTTTGTAAGTCGAGGTAAATAAAGGCTACTACATTAAATTAAGGGATTATAAAATTTGTTAAAAACTAGAATTAAATATACATAATGTTTTCAAATAGATATAATATTTTCAATATTTTTATTTAATGTATATTTCTTTTTTAATTAAAAATTTTTCAACATCAACCAGTAAATGAAAATTATAAGCAAATTAATTTCTGCCACTTTCATTTAAATCGAATCATGCTGTAGGTAAGTAGGTAGGTTAGAGTGGCAGTCTTGTTTCCAATACGCCCATTTCAGCTCAAATGATAACCCATAACCCATACATATATAGCTTTAAATCAGTATACAGTCAACTCTGAAAAAGCTAAGAACTCCTCCATGCTGTACTTCTGCTTGAAGTTCAAAAAAGACAGGATCAAAATCAAAACAATTGATCATTAACAAACCCTAGGTTAGGTTACTGGGGCCGTCTGAAGACGCACTTAGACCATGAGGTCCATTGTGATACCCTTAATTTAATTTAACACCTGTCACTATAACTATTTAGTTCTTGCCAGAATATAATTTAGCTCTCTTAATGAATTGAAAAAGTGCGACCCTAAGCAAAAGAATCTTGCGAAAGCAGAACACTCTAACAGAAGGTGTATTAGTGATTCCTCTCTGTCATCCTCTATACAATGTCTACAGTGCAAGGAGGCTCTGATATTATTGACGACCCTAACCTGAAAGAAAAATAAGTACCGAAAACACATTAGGCTACTCTAACTCGAAGTTCTGCTCAACAACAAGTCAGCAAGTCATTTACACTATGGCATTAACTTTTGCTAAAAAGATTGCTGTAAAGCTACAGTGAAAATAAAATACTTGATCTTAATCGCAAGAGTACCATCCAGATGCAGTATAAGTAAAGGTTTTAAAAAAACCTTCAGTCAGTAGAAAAGATTTACTCAAGTCAGGAATCTTATGCTCTGGTAATGATACATTTTCCAGGCTGCACTGATAAGGAAATGGCACTGCAAACGATATATACTGTCCGCGCAGCTAGGAATGACGTTGCAGATCTTGTTAGTAGATATAAGATTGTCTGACTTTTTCTTCTCTTTCTTCTTTTCTCTCTTTCTTAAGTTACAGCACTCTCTTGACGATACTATGTTTCAGATGTCGGTTCCGATGGTGTTAAGTAAATATTATCCGTTTTGCCTAATTTTGAGGAATAAATAAAATTTTCATGCAGAATGAAACAAATCTATTTTATATTTAAATTGCAAAATTTTTTCAAAGTACTGAGGAAATTTACTGTATATGTCAACCAATGATTCTTTTAATTATTACAATTTTTTTTGTTTTATTTATTAAAGCGATGTTTTATTTGTGTTTCCGTATTAAAATCTGATATATAATTCTATCTGAATGGAGCATATAAAAGCCATCCCTCTTGTAAAAGGGATATATGTCTAGATGAAGAAAAACAAACAAATTTTCGTTGGATGATATTATGAAGATAAATAGCTACTATCTTTCGCTCGTCTTTTATCAGTCACCACTTTTAAGTGTCACGCTTGTTGTTTTTTTCTCTTGCTTCTGAGAAGACGCGCTTAATAATAATGAATGCTATTTGTACTTTGATTTCTACATCACGCCAGATGGCGTTGCGCTGGTTAATGTGTTCGCCACACATATACCTATAATCTTTTATGTTCAATTCAATCTTTTAATAATCTTTTAATTCAATTATATAGAATAATTCTAATTCTAACATATTTTTAAAACACAAAAAAAAAACTATAATAAAATGAACCAAGTTCTATAATGTGTTCCATATAAAAAACCTTCACATATGTTTTTTATGAATTTCAAGAAAAAAGCAACCATATGCTTTTTTCTGTGAACCGATTACTTTCGAAAAATATTTTCTATCGCATACGAATTTCTAGAAAAATCGACCTTTTCGTGGTTGAACACGAGTCAAACAGAATCTCACGAAGTGTAGTAAGTTGCCTATAAGCGTTAACATCCTTCGTTTGTTTATCGTGTATTATAAAAAAACAACAAAGTTTTTGGAGACAATAACTGATAATGGAACCGAAATTTGTGTAAGTGTGAAATACTAATTAAATTGAATTATATTGTATAATATAAATGTGATCTTTTGATAAATGTGATATAAAGTAAAATAAAAAAAATGTTCGCGCGCAATTTTTTTATGAATTTCTTTCTTACTATTTTTTTTGTAAACAGAGTTGGCAAATACACTGAGAAGGAAATGGAAGCTGCAATGGCGCTTTTAGAACTGCACGAGCGTGTTTATTTAGACGACCCACGTGGAAGTCGGGTTGAAAAACCCACAGTTCAAACATCGCCGATCGATTTCACATTGGCAAAAACAAAGACCAAAGTGGTTGAAGAAAGGAAGCAATATCACGTTTCTGTAATCCGCCCCAATATTATGATTAACCAAAAACCAGCAGATACAGCAGAACTGTTTGGTGCACCACAACTAAAAGAAGAACAAGTTTCAGGTGATAATGCTCAAGTTAACGCCGGCATGAAAAAATCTGGCGCTGCAAGGGAGAAAACAGTTGTTATTTTAAATCCACGTTCATGAAGTCCTAATTTCAGTCGTAATGATTTAATATTTTTTTGTTCTTAAACCAATAAATATTTAAATAAATCCAGAAAACGTTTAATGGATCCAAGTAAAAAAGTTGTTTTTAATTAAAAGGATGTATTGGGTTGAGAAAAATTACCAGGCGGGTGTTTAATAAAATAATAAAATAAAAAAAAATTGAATAAAAATGAAATTTTGTTATTGTTTTTAAATTTTAATTAAAATGACTAATTTATTTACCTTTTTAGAAATATTTTTTGGTTTTTTTTTTGCTATTATTATTTGTTCAAAAATTTTTTTTTTTTGTAGTTATTTTTATTTTATATTAATTTATTTTTTTTACGTTTTATTTGTGTTATACTGATTCATGTGATTTTCACAGTCTTCGTTTAAGATTATGTTATATTATGTTATGAAAATAATAAGATTATGATTATATAGGTAATGTGAAAAAAATAAAAATATTGAATAAATGATATACTATAACTCTAATATTATATCGTGAATGCATGAAACCCTCTCTGCCACGTTTGCTCAACTTTTGTTAGGCGATCAAAAATATGTATGGCTCAACATTGTTTGAAGAAAGAAGGTATATTTCTCCCTACAGCCACATTAATTATTTGACAGTAGGGTTTCGAGTCAAAATATATATATATATAATGGATGATACCATTGCAATTCATGTGTTGCGCTTGACCTTATTTAATCCAACTAGTTTTCAGACAATAATAAAGTATATTATATTTTTATTTATCATTTTTGGAAATACTCCAAGATGAGGTTTATATGATCTTGAAGTGTATTGGTTACGTTGGGAGCATATTCATCCGAGTATAACATACACGTATCGTCACTGTCGCCTGACTTAACATTGCCATATCGAACGTATGGGTGTTGTAAAGAGTGGGGGAACGCGGCGATCCCTGAGAAAAGCCTGCTTCTATAGTTCGAACTGACGAGAGAGAAAATGGTAATTTATTGATAATAAAACTTTATTTATTCTACTACATAATTTTTAAGTATTCAACGTAGTTATAGAATCAAAATGTTTTCCTAAGCGTCATTGAATTGTAATTTTCATATACATAAATTATGTATTTTTTCTCCTAATTAATTACTTATTTTTATTATTAATTATTTCTCTTAACTATAGGCTGTTATTCATTTAACGATTTTTGATAATAACGAACTAAATAATTTTATCAAATGAATAAATAATTAAGTCCTGTACTTGGAACAATTATCTTTAGCTGACTAGTAGTTTATCACAAAGTGAGAACTAAAATAAAGCTCAATATCTATAGATAACTAAAAGAAAATTCATTAATTTGCAGTAAATAGAAATATTTTGTTAGTATTTATTTTAATACATCTTAAAGACGTTAACAGATTTTTAATATTGGTTTTAATTATTACATAAATAATTAACGTTTTGCATAAATCATTAAATTAGAGACTCTCCGATGAAGAAGAGTCCATGGTTTCCATAGGTACATCGGATTGAAAATTCGATCCATTTGAATAAAATTCGGCACTGGTCTCTATGGTTACATGCGATAAGCCCGAATCAATTATTTCACTATTACCATTATCGCCGATAGTGGTATTATCGCTGATAGTAGTGGTATCACTGATAGTGGTAGTATTGCTGGTAGTGGTAGTGTCAGTAATACTAGAGTCATCAGTGGAGTATATGGTTACATCCGACAAATCTGAACCAATTATTTCACTATTATCAGTATCGTTAATAGACTCTATGGACTCCATATCTGATAAACTCGAATCAATTACAGCACTACGACCACTATCGCTGGTAGTGGTAGCACTATCTTCAAATTGTTCTATTGCCACAGCTAGATCGGAAATGCTTTCTATCATTCGAAGTATAGAACGAGGACTAAGTGTGCTACCATGTGGGTTAATTCGAACACTTGGATCAAAACGTCGACCTTCGATTCCGGAACTAGTTGAGGCACGTTCATCATTATCAGTATTTGTGATATACTTTGTGAAGTAAGCTTTGTTGGTTAATTTTTCGTTTTCCAATTGCTCTTTTTCAAACGGATCCATAGCCTCAATTTCGTCCTCACTTAATGACTCACCGTCTGATCCATATTTGTCAGGCATATTTTTAGGGCGTGTTATTCCACGAATTACATTCCTCTGAAATTAATAATATATAATAATGTATAATGTATATTTTTTTTAACATTTTGTAAATATAATTTTTATATAATGTTCCAGTATGACGTTAAGCTACTGATGAACACTATATAAAATGTACATTTATATTACATGTCACGAATAAGATAATTATTGGAACACGTGTTTAAAACACACATTTCATACACAAAATAATAGCAAATATGTATATGCATTTATTAATAAATATTCAAACACTTACCAGATCGTCAAGGTTTTCCATATTTTACTGTCGTTGTGTTTTTTACTTTAAATATAATCCAAGAAAACTAACTAGGTACTGTCACTGTCCCGTTAACAAAAAGAACTGACGCCAACGGAAATGAAATTATTAAAAATGCTTGTTCTACTATAGATATTCACAGTAATATATAAGTCTCCATGGAGACTTCCAAAAAATGTATTTATGTAATGTAATAATAGATGTATCACTATTAATTTTTATCTCGCATCTCACACATCACGTTTTCTTTATCGGGTTTTACTGGTTTTTGGTGTACGGGAACAAAATGATTGATACAGATTTGGAATATGCGAATGCAGCAAAAGTAGTGATCCTCTTACTAGATACAAGAAGGTAAGTCTTGTCACAAGTTGCTTATTACTACCTAAACAACGCCAGTGAATAAACTCAATACATCATGTAAAATAGTATAATATTATATTACTTTTACTTCACATCACACAACTGACACAAAAGCCATTTCTTGCCTTATAGAATTTTTAAAAAGCAGTAAAAATTTGAAAGCTCTTATTTGAAACAGAACATATGGATATTATAACCAAAAGATCACTTAATATACGAGGGCGGTTTGATTATTCAGTGACTTTTTGAATAAAACAAAATAAACATTTTATTTTTCTATATATAATCACCTTTTAGCTGGATACATTTAGTCCAGCGTTTTTCTAATTTTCTTATTCCCTCCAAATAATAGGTTTTCTCAAAGCCCACTGTTTCGGTAATGACTTCTTCATCCGACTCAAATCTCTTACCGCCCAGCCATTTCTTTAGGTTTGGAAACAGAAAATAGTCGAAGAGGCTAAATCTGGAGAATATGCAGTATGGGGTAGCAGTTCGTATCCCAATTCGTGGATTTGGGAAATTCACTTTTTTCCATTTTCGTAAAAATTCACGAGGTTGTCTGCTTTGAACGGCTATCAAACAGCAACTGAACGACTAGCTTGCTCAAAATTAAAAAGTTGTTCACTGGTAGATTACAGCTGACGGCAGCACTGTTGCATTTGAAGTAACTGCGCGGGAAATTCAAAAAGTCACTGACTTATCAAACCGCCCCCGAAGTTTGAAGGCAAGTATGTAGTTTAAATATTTTAAAACAAATTTTAATGGTATCTACAACTCTTCATATATCCTCAATATATTTTCAATAATTTGTTTTTGCAACGATTTCGTCTTTAGAAAGTGATGTTAGTGTATTATGTGCTCATATAGAATACTACGTTCACACTTACAATTATAGAAACTTATTTACAAATTTTCAAAAAGATTTCGTATGAAAAATAATATTTCGTAACGTATTAGCATAACGTAATGCTAATATCATATTTCCACTGCAGTTAAAATTATGTTAATGAAATTAAGATTTAATCGTTTCCATTGACAGAACTTGATTTATGCACGTGAAATAGCTTGTTTGTTCACATTTTACATATGAAACATATGACAAATATTTCAAATTTTGGTAGTTTCCCCTGTGGGAAATTTATATTTAAGTGTTTCACTTGACATTTTTCGCTTTAAATCAGTTGATTAATTTATAATGAGCTCATTTACATAAAAGCTTCTTTTATGGTAAATTAATCTCATTAGCGGCTTTAATGAGCAATAATGCCTAAATGAGACAAGTGAAAACATAGTATAATGCTTCAATAGCTGTAATTTGTTCATTTTGTATTCTGAAGAAGTGATTCCAGTGGCTTTAAGTCCCACACTGTGGCTTTCAATGCCTTTCACTTACTGGGAAAGAAAGAATCGTATTTCGATATGATAACTTGAATTTACAGATATACGCCAAGTGGTTAATAACATTGTGAAAATCCAATATGTTTCAAACTTTCCACATATTCTAAATTTCTGAGTTATTTAAAGTTTTTTCATTAATATGGGCGCTATTACTTCCCATACTTGGATATATCCCATAAAGGTGACGGCCGATTTTATGAAAATTATGTGTTCGTGTACTCTACCAATTCTTATATTAATGTACTATTATATATTTACAAATATTTTAAACGGACGTTGTATATCTAATGTGTTTACTAGCTTTGCACTCGTATGGCGTATCTCCAGCAATTGGTTTAAAGTGTCTATTTCCCCACAATATTGTATTTTCTTTTCTTAAAATAGTACAACATAACATAGTAAATGTTAATGAACTTTCACTGCAAATTAACAAAAAACTTCAAGTTCGGACATACGGCTTGGCTTGGCCTGGTCAAGTACGACTTGGCTAATGAACACTGACTCTGAGCTTCAAATTTGGCAGGGCATGAGTTCAACTCGTGGTAACTATTTAGTAACTCTTAATTTCTTCTTAATTTATTTTTATTTATTTTTTTAAGTCGTGAAATGTGCATTTAAATTGTGGTTTTGGATAATGTGACATTACAGGACGGTTGGATATGATTGAAAAAAATATTTACAATTACTTGCAATTATGTATTAAATATTTTTGCAAAATTTATTCATGTATACGTTTATATATGTACTTAAGCTGTATGTTTGTCTTATGTAAATAAAACCAATATATCCATAATGTTTATACGTAAATTAATAAGTATAAAAATCTAGTAACTTATCATTAAAATAATATATGAAAATTGTAATTATATTTTTTGATTTATTGTTCTGATGTTGACTCTCAAGGAGAGTTTAGTTTTTTTATTTTATTGATTGACTTATATTTATTTAAGACATATTAGTCACTGATATATTTTAATTACAAACAATATATTTTCTTTAATTAATTATTTAAATTTCAATTAATTATTTCAATCATTCAAACTCAGGTTGAACAGAAAACTCATTTTTATCAAAATATTTTGCACTATTTTCTGCCAAAAACTTGATGAAATTGTCAATCTGTTCCAACACAATTTTCGCTGAACTTTCATCCAGTTCACTACTTTTCAAGAATGGTCCCAATTTAACAAAAAGCCGAATCATATGTATACACCCGTAAACGCTAGACATTCTCATATTTGGATAACCGTTCGCAATTTGGTTATATTGCGATTGTTCAAGATCATACAATAGTTTTTTATCAAGTACAAGGTTAAAATAATCAATTAAACCCGTCAACATTTCGGTATTTTCTTGCTCGTTTGAGTCTTTTCTAAATTCTACATATTGATTAACCACATCTTGTACTGTTACCTTAGCTGGAATAGTAGCCAGCTTAAATTCACGATTGATTGCATACCAATCATATAGTAATACAGATTTCAGTTCATCTGGTATTATAATTTTAATATCCACTTTAGGACGAATTTCATCATCAGTTTCATTCTGAACATCCACATCGCTCATACTGCCTAGAGTGTCTTCTTCATCATCACTATCGGAAGATTCACTATTAACAATACTACTGTTAGTACTGCAACTACCAGTTGCAGTTATTTCATCTTCTAGAGTGTCTTCTTCACCATCACTCTCGGATGAATCTGCTTGAACGATACTGTTATTAGCACTGCAACTACCAGTTGCAGTTATTTCATCTTCTAGCGTGTCTTCTTCACCATCACTATCGGATGAATCTGCTTCAATAATATCGGCTGATTGGGAACTATCAGAATGCGAGCCTACCTCATTTGGTTTATTATTATAATATAGAAAACCATTTTTTACATTAATAAAACAATTTCTGCTTAATATTTCACTCACCTGCTTGGGTTTTATTTACTATGGTACCGACATCACCAGCGAGCTCGTCTTCTAGCTCTACGTCAGTAAGATTATATTTTTTGAGTCTAACCTCCAATGCCCATTCATCCCACCTGCGGTTATATTATAAATATTTTTAATTTTTTAATCACATAGAAAGCTTACTTCTTGTTCCAACCAAAATAGTGTACCAGATATTTTTTCTGGTTTTTATCAGTTAACAAACATTTCAAGATTTTTGCTTCATATGCAATTCCTTGATAGTAGCAAAGCACTTTCTCACCTAATTTATTGCAATGATTAACTCTGATGGACTAATAATAAGATTATTTTTTGAGAAATTATTATTTACCCTTGGCGAACTTAAATCCAGGTTCCATATTTCCGATTTTTTTTATTAAAAAGTATATATATAACAGTAATTTGTTAATGTGTTAAAATTTCTTAACCTCACCGACTTTTCAAGAACAATCGTGTGGTGACTTGCAAAACGAAGTAATGACATACTTGCAGTTAGTAAGGCCTTGCATACACGGCAAATCGGATTGATGCGAGACTCATGCAAGTGTGATAGGTTTTAGACATTACGATTAAAACAATAATAATTGTATTATAATTATATATAATAAACATAATTAATTATTATTATAATAATTATTACAATCTCATAATTATTAATTAATTATTAAATTTCCTTACTTTCTAAAATATGGAATAAGTATTAGATATTTTTCAAAAGCAAATACACAAATGGGAATGTTTAAATTTTTCATATACACTACTGAATATAGAAAATATTGAATTGACATAAAATAAAATCTACTTTACATTTCTGAAAGAATCTTTATAAATAAGTTTTTATTTTTAAAATTTTTCTAGTGAAATGATAGCCTATATCAATACTAAAGCTCTAATAGACGAAACAATCAGTCAGTCCAACATAGAATCAATATCGTCGCAATCGTAATGCTTATAACAATGGTAAATAAAGTTACAGTCAAAGTAGATGTGACAAGGACTCCAAATCGGTCGTCCATAAGCATGTAATCATATATAACTTTGTTAAAAAAATATATTTTATATAATTAAAGCTAATAATAATTTTTAAAAATTATATAGTATAAAAGTATTCGTATTTAATTATATTTCTTATAGATTGCTATAGCACACAAGTTTTCGGACGACTAAGATATATCTAAGATAAGATATAAATATAGTTTGTTAGAACAAGAATTTTTTTAAAAATAATATTTAAAAAAAATTATAAAAATACTTTCAAAATTGATTATTAATTTTAATCATTTAATAGTTAATCGATAAAAAAAGAAGAAAACCGTGGATTAAATCACATTAACGTAGAAATAAAGTGCTGAAAAAAAGAATCTCAAGGAGAAAAGTTTCTATTTCAATTAATATAAAAGTTTGTTGCTCTAGTTTCCTTGCTAGGTATTGAAATTAATAATTAATTCAGTAATTGAAATGATATAAAATTTTTTCAATTGGTATATATAACAGAAAATCTGTCTAAAATCAAGATAAAGCATTTCTATTAGGTCCATGTTATATAGAGTGTCACGGGCACGATAAAATTGGCTCTTTAGGGCAATGACGGAAATGCATGTTATGTAGACTGTCACATCAGTTTTGTCAATTTCGTATTTTTACTACTTTTTGATATATTATAGTTGTGCCTTAATTTAAAAGGAAATGTAGATATGCTCACTTTCAATTTGCCACCAAAAATAACCAGCAACAAAAAACTCATAGAGGCTGTCATAATGTTAATTTATTATTATATTTTCTTATAATAATTGTTAACAGTACTAACAAAACTATATACCCCATTCCTTAAAATCGGAAAACGTAATAATTAGACTATTAGCGGTTTATAAAATAAGCTGTGTTGCTTACTGCTATTTTTCCTCTAAAACGTACTAAAATTGGAATAATTTGCTCCTAAAAGGCTCAAACTCTAAAGTTTATTACAAAACAACACTGCTTTGCCTTAGTGACGTGGCACAAATACGACGGCTCGCAGCCGAAATTTGAACCGACGAAATTTTTTTTTCTGAATCTCAATTTTATAATTTATACTGACAACAACAACAACTTTACTCATGCCGTGCCCGAGACACTCTACATAACATGACCCTAACATGGTCCTAAACAGAGGACCATAACCCTTAACAGAGATATTTAGTTAAAAAAGTTTATTTATGTATTTTTAAGATAGTCTTTATATTGGTAACTAATGCTCTGCTTAAAAGGAAAGGCAAGGCTTTAACGTTCAAAATTCAATCAGTTTGAAAGAGCAGCTTCCTCTGTAGTTGCGCAGCGCTAAGTATCAGTAGACCAAAATAACTATCTGTATTATAAATATTTTTCAAAAATAAAATAAAAAAATTTTAACACAAATTAATAAGTACAATTTTTTATTATTTGTATGTATTAAATAAACGACCTTAGCTCGGTGAAAATTGCAAATTTTATTGATAAAAGTGGTAGGTAGGTTGGGGTGGCAGCCTTGTTTCTAAAAAGCCCACTTAAGCTCAAATGACTTGAGTAGTAACACAGGAATAGCATTGGTACGTACATAGATTTAAAACAGTATACAGTCAATGCCGAAAAAGATAACGACTCCCCCATTAGGCAAAGGAAAACCAACCTGATAATTCTATAAACTTGGCCAGATTCCTAACATTACAGGACCCAGTCTCATAGCATGCCTTCCTATTTCGGAGTGTCCCATCAGCACAGTTACCGTCGTGCTGAGCAGGTTACGCCTTAGTTAAAGTAGCTGACTAGTTCGTTTTTTGTTTAAATTAGACCTAGTCAACCTAAATATCTGACAACAGTATTTCTGATCTGATTAGCCCAGTATTGCTTGACTATGCTAAGCTAAGCTAAAATTGGTCGTATTAACAATTAATTATTAAATCAAATTAAATTAATTAATTAAACCTTTGATGTTGTTCTAAAAGTCATAATTTAAAATATATTTATAGATATTTATAAATATATTTAAACAAATCTAATATTTTCTAGAGTTCTCAAGCCTTAGTTTTTTTAATTTTACTCAATATTTGTCTTTAATTATATATAAAAACACTTTTTAAATTCTAGTTCAATATTTATGTTGATATCTTTGTGCATAATTTTTAACAAATATTTTAATATTAAATATTTTATTAGTTTTTTACTGTAACATTAATTTACTTGGGAGGCTTTAAGTAACATAAAAGTCTATGTAAATTGAGATGAATTTCAATATGTTGAAATTTAAAGCTTTGAAGTCAATTTGGTAAATGTTTTGATCTCCCCTTAAAGTCAAAAGGATGACATAGGCAAATACCACATTAGCAGTGACATAAAAATATTTGTTAGGTTGATTTTACAGATAAATATGCTAAAAACGTGATTATTTATGTAAATATTTGACATTCATGCAACAGTATTATATATAAATACAACCAATTTGCATATATACATATATATTTATACACATACATATTTTTACAACCACATAGATAAGCTATGTACGGCTATATGAGGTTGTATGAAACTTAAATATATGCATGTACATATCTATATACTCGTATAAATATGTCTGAACTAATAAATGTTTCTCTCTTAGAAATCCATTAAAGGTGAACATATTTCATGATTATTTTAACTTGAACGCTTAATTTTCATGTTGATTAATGACGCAATATTTAAGCACAATAACATCAATGTTGACACAAATAAATTAATATATATATATACATCCATTTATACACATATTACTATAGATTACAACACTAGCTTATATTGTCTAGTGGGAATTACTTCAGTTTGTTCTACAAAATGATACTTAAGCTTTAAGAAATTCCAATATTAAGGTGTGTTTCTTACTTAAATATTGCATTGACTAATTATAAATTATAATATAAATTTTAATATAAAATTTGGTGATTTTGTGTTTGGTGATAAAGCACTAAAGCACAATATAATCAGGGTTTTAGTATCCCAAATAATTATTTCAGTTTTCATATCTTCCCTGATATGATCGGAGAAAGTTCCGAAAAGTATGTTACTACGTATTTAAATGGCATGATAACAATTACTTAGTTTCACTGAGAGAGTAACTCATATTAATGTTTTTTAGATGTTAAAGAATCTATAGTTCATACTGGTTTATATTACTGGTTTTATATAAGGATAATTTTTTTTTATCGAATTTTTCATATATCGCACGAATCTTATAGTTGTGATGAGCTTTATAACGCTATATCTATTGTATATTCCACAGAGCATGCTCCAAACTTTCTTTTGTTATGGATATAATCCATAGTTTATAATATAAAGTTCCAGAGCTGGAGCTGGAATTTACTCGAAAGAATTAAAACTAACGTGTACTCTATATACAAAAAAAAACTATGTTTCCGTTTGTTAGGTGGAACTTATAGCGGTCTCAGTTGCTCTGGATCACCTATTGGATTGTGAGGTGTATCAGAAAAAGTTTCTGATAGCGTTCAACAATCAAGATGTTATCAAAAGCATACAAAAGACGTGTGTAGTCAACAACTTAGTACAAGAATGTGTCACGAAGCTCATTGAATGTAAGGTAACAGTCATGTGGGTTAAAGGACATAACAATACTGAGCAAAACGAAAAGGCAAATGATCAAGATATAAGTTCTGCGGCCAAAAGTGCAAAATACCATTGGGCAACAACATAACTGCAGCCAACGTCCATAAGTGGATAACTTCACTTGGCTGACCTCATTGATTGCTGTGTGTGTGAACATAAAAACTTCAAGTAACAACCCAAAAAGACATTTGATCTTGTTGTGGAAGACACCTGCAGACTATGTGTCGAACAAAAGGAGACAGCGGTGCATATATTCTGCCAATGTCCAGCACTGGCAAGCAGGAGAATGTCTGTTTTGTGATACATTGCGTTGGTGTTGACTTGTCAGCCAACCTTAAGCTAAAAACATCCAAGTCCCAAGTTTCGTGATCTAATTTAATTAATCCTTCATTTAAGTGGAGTCATTTGATGGACGGTGTGCTGTCCATGAACGTCTCACTGAGTTTACTGAAAACCCATTTAAACATCAAATTTTGAGTGTCTCTCAGTAGTTTTTGTGATTAGAATTAAAGTTTACGGATTGGATGAGCGAAGTTAGCGATAACATAACTTCTGGCTGTAATTATTATTATAATTATTTTTTAATATTTTTATACATAATAATGTTTATTTATACGTGTATGTATATATTTTATATACCATATATGAAAGTTGTAAATATTTTTATGAGTAATTTGTGCACAGAACTCCACACTCTCTCAGCTCAGTGATAACAATGTTGATAATGAAAAGTTGTCGTCCGTTAACTGTATGTGCTACTTCCTCGTACATTTTATGGTCTCATTAATATTCTATGCTCCAGGTCGTTGTTTTTGTAGCTCCTGTCGTTGATGTCGCT